GGGGGGGGAAGAAGCGCTGCCGAATGTATCCTGTCTCCCACCGACATATATTGATTTATATACGGAGAACTCTAGGTGTGCCTGTGTGTGTATATATGGTATGTGTGTGTATATATATTTATATGCTGTATATATAAAGATATACACATACATGGATTTGTTTTAGTCATCTGATGATGTTGGGGAGCCCCGTGGGGGTTTTTGCTGCCTGCGCCCCGTTTGGCTGGGGCAGGACCAAGCCTGCCCGGGGGGCTGCTGCGCACCCGTCACTGTAGCAGAGCATCGGGAATGCCGCCCCGCTCCCCTCGCCCCCTCCCACATGTTTCCAGCGGTGGGAATTGCTTTTTTCTCCCTTTGTGGTGGCCGAGGTGAGGGGTCTTCGAGCGGCTCTGCCTGCAGGAGTGGGATGCCCAAGGGACGAGGATGGGGCTGTCCCTGGGGGTACGGCTCACTCGGCGCCAGTGGTGATGGCAAACATCTCGGAGGCCTCTTTGGTGTATTTTCCCAGGAGAAGAAGATTCCGGCGTCCGCAGAGGAGGGAAGATTTTGCGTGTGCGTGACGGTACCCTAAGGTCTGTCGTCCCAGCAGAGGAGCCCAGCTTCGGCACCTCCCCTGCAGCCGTGGCCCCTGCCCCATCCCGGGGCCTGGCACCCCCTTGGAGGGGGCTGCCGTGGGGGTGGCTGGCTCTGCAAACCCCACGGCCCCGGCGCGGGGATGCTGGAGAGGAGCGTGGTGCTGAGGGTGAGCAGGGTGGCTCTCCCCTCCTGCAAGCGCAGTACAGGGCCACCTTCAGTGCCGGTCATTAATTAATCTGGTAATTATGTGCTGTCAGCTCGAACGATCTGCATGCAACCTTGGCTGCGGGTGCGATGCTTTGCTTTGCCAGCCCAGGGAGATGCTGGTGGCTTGTGGCATGGTCCGGGTGCTTGGGGCTGTTCTGGCAGCTCTGACCAGGCTTTGCTTTGGTCCTGGATAACCCATGTCCTCTCCTGACCAAAAGATCACCGGTGTGTTTCTGCTGTGAGTCGTGTCTGTCGTCACCCCGAGCGTGCTCCTGGGGAGCCGGAGGGTGCTGTGCCTTTGGAGCCTCAGGGAAGAGCTTGGTCCCTGGGCTGGGGAGTCTGGTCGATATGGTTGGACCAGGCATGGCCATCTGCGTGGAGATGGGATGTGGCCTTCAGCTTCTTGCCCTGCCCTTCTTCCTGCCCATGGCTTCGCTCTGCTGCAGGTTGTCGTGGTCCAGGTCCTTGGGGCTGTTCTGGCAGCTCTGGCCAGGCTTTGCTTTGGTCCTGGATAACCCATGTCCTCTCCTGACCGAAAGACACTACGGGCACAAACTGCCCCGCTACTGCATGTGCAGACCAACCCCTGCCCCGATAGCTTTGTGAGCTCCCCTGGCAGAGCTCTGCTTTGCGAGAAGCAAGTCCCACCAGCTCTGAAGGCTTTGCCCGCTCCTGGGCTCAGTCATGGACCAAAACCCCTCTTTCTAATGGCCAAGCCGCCCTCTGCACACCCAAGGAACAGGTTTCACTTATGGGGCCAAAACCTCCTGCTGCCTTGATGAGTCTCTGGTGGTGGGTGGCACCTCCGTTGTCCCTGCTCACCCCATGCTTTCCCAACAGATGCTTCCAGCTGCCAAAGGATCCAAAACTCCCTGGGAAGCCCTTTCCATCCCTCTGGCTCAGCTCCTGCACCCCCCATCTCGGTGCATGGGGGCAAGCCGTGCCCCGTGCAGCTTTGGGAAGGTCCTTAGTTCTGGCCGGTGGTGTGGGCATCTCCTGTTCCCTTCCAGCCATCTGTGAGCAGTCTGAGGCTTCAACCTGAAGCTGCTGGAGCATTGCTCCGTGTGCTGGAGTTTGGGGGAGCCAGGCCGGACGGGCAGTGTGGGATCGCACGGGGGCCAGGGCCGGAGATGCAGTGGTGCTGGGGGCCGGGGGAGGCGATGCCATACGCGCTCTAAATATAAGATGGTGGCATCGTCTGCTTCTAAATGCAGAAAGGTGTCTGACAATACCGGGCTCTGA